TCCTTCTCTCTCTGCTTGTTCATACATTGTGATTCTGCAAGTCTTCCTCCACTGCATATAAGATTTCACTTTTTAGAGCCAATGCCATTCCATGGGCTGAATAGCAACACGTGGCACAGGAAATTCAGAAAGCTTTAATTAACAAGGCCCTGGCAAGACAGCCGAGACTAGCTTCATGTTATCACTGAAAAATGCATAATTAAGCTCACCTTTGTCTTTCAGGTTCTCCATCAACATCCTCATCGGCACTACACGTGGCGCTCGAATCATTGTCTGAATGGGTCTCCTGTCTTGCTGTAGCAGTCTGTTGTGTGAGACTGAAGTCCATTTCCTCAGGTTCTGACTTTTCCTTGGGTTTCTCCATATCCCTTTCTTTGGTTTCACTTTCTATTTTCACTTGAATATTTTCTGGTAACCTCATTTCAGTGTCTATAGGCTCTACTTTGGTATGCACTGGAAGGTTAAGCATAGGTTTAACTTCAGCTGAGTGGCTTCTACTGTCCACCTCCATAGCCTCTTCCACCTCATTATTTATTTCTTCTTTAACCTGTGGCTCAGAGTTCTGAGTTTCAGCTGTTTGCGCGCATTGGGTTGCTGCAGAAGGGGAGGCACTGGGTGCAGTTTTAATGGCAGATTCCTGCTCTGCTGCGGTCTCAGTGGTTATTCTAGAAACAGTGCCCTCAGACACAGCATCTTCACTAGGTTTAACAGCTTCTGCTGGTAAAGGAGATGGAGCGCTCTCTGTATCTGAGCTGTTTTCAGCACCTGAAAGACATGGTTCTAGCATAAGCCCTCAAAAGAGTTAACAACCAAAAGTGTAGCAGTCGCCCCCAAAAGTTCCAATAAGCAAATGAGGCCCCTGCTCCAACGACTCTACTTACTGCTTGAAATAACAACGGGATAAGCGAACAGAAGGAATGGTTTGAAGAGGAAGAGTGGAACGAGAACACCAAGATTATGTAACGAGGCCCCAACGAGCAGAACTTCTCCTTATGCCGAATCTCAATACTTCATATAGCCCTCTTTGCATGATTTAGGTAGGTCTCACCACAGACTAAAGTATAGCATGGTGGAGCAAAACTTTAATGAATTAAGTATGTATATTTTACAGGCCTCAGAGGAAGAGCACAGCGTTAATTTTAAGTAATGTTTGCATAATTTGCAAACAAGTCTAACCAGTTAATTTTCATGGTATATAATTGCCCTCATTTTAAACTTATTTGAATTTTAGGCTTTAAGAATCTTAGGCTACAAGCCACAACCTTAAAAATTGTTCATTCCATGACTTGACATCCTTCTAGAATTGGCATCCATCCACCGAAGCAGTGTGCAACATAAGCAGGCTGCTATTGCTTTTCATACAGCAATAGGAGACTGCTAGTCATGAAAGCAATGCCAATTGTGGCTACAGGCAAACAAAGGCCCTTTAATCTATAGCAGGAAGTACACGTCAGCATCACTAATATTTTGTGCCACTTCAAAATGAAGTTTAACTATTCAGCTTTCACCCTAGTAATTCTGTACACTTTGTATGACTTAACTGTATCATAAATAGCCTCCAGATTAAGAAACTTTGATAAAGTAAACTAAAAATGGTTAGGGAAACTGTGGTTGCATAATAAAACACAGATTCTACTCAGGAGATTCATGTTCAAGATAAGAACACTGATTAACATCACTTCAACAAGAAATATTTAAGTTTAAATATAACACACTTCCATAAACTTTTGGTATTTTTTTAGAAAGCAACTACATGCCTTTCCCATTCAGAGGATGTTTCCAATGAAAAGGAAACCAAATTCTGTACAGCCAACCATGCAATTCTAGTTAAGTGAAAGGTTCAAGGTTTCTAACCTATCGTTCATTATATAACTTTTTACAGACAAGGTATTCACCTACGGCTTATGATTATGCCCCCAAAGGAAAGAGTCACAGGGGATGCATCTACATATGCACTTTACTGTGGAGCTGACTAATTAGAAAGCATCACAGTCTACATTTGTGCCCATAATAGGGCACAGTTAATTCAATTAACTCCACCGTAGGAGTTAATTGTGTATACAATGACTGGGGCCGGCTAGCCCCACACTAGCACCATCATGCCCCAGCCAGCTTCTCTCTCACCCGACGCTGCAACCCGGAGCCTGGGGCTGACCCACCCCACTTCCCTAAGCCTGCTGCCAGCCCAGGGCTGCTCCACCCCAGCTCTAACTGCTGCAGTCCCAGGTGCTGCACCTGGGAGCCACTGATACCAGTGTGAACTGCGCCGGAGTTTATTGCTCCGTGCTAACTGCACGTGTAGATGCACCCAAGTTTTAATAAAAGTGTTTGTGGAGAGGGTTTTTTTAAAACGGTATGCTAAACAGATAAGTAAAGCATAAAGATCCACCAATTCTCACTAGTTAGATCCTCTCCACTAATTATTATTGCCTCTTTTTCAATGAATTATGCAGACAGCAGCATGACATACTACCCCAAACTTTCTGATTCAGTTTAAGAATTTACTGGACAGTTCTATATAAGGGTGGCCCATGCCAAACACAATGGCAAGTCTCTAATGTTGAAAAGTTGCAGCCAGAACAAAGAGCTGGTAGTTTCCTGCCTGCTTGCAACTTTTCTGAGACCAGTAACCAGTTAAAGACTAGAAATCTTGATTCTGCATCATTTCAGATGGGCAGTTCATTCAGGCACATGCTGTAGTACACTTTAATTGGTAGCGTAGTAAAGGGCTTCTCAAAATGTTACATATTAGTAACAATCTAGAACTGTTTAATGCCAAAAGCAAGGGTCAGAAAAGATCAGGGCCAGTCAGAAAAAGATACAGTAACAATTCCACCTGCTAAAATCCAGGTCAAAAGTAGAATTTGAAAATACCAGTAGACTATTTTAATGCAACAAAGTATAACTTTTGGGTTACTGAAAATGACAACTTTTGCAGGTGACCAATAGGACTCCCAACTAAAATGTAGGACCCATTTTGGCACAAAAAAGGAGCTTCTCTCCAACTTAACGGTTACCTTCACTGTCTTCTGGATTTTCTTCTTCATTGGATGCTTCAATATCTTCATCTTCCTGAGCTGACACAGTTGATGCCACACTTTCACACTGAGATACATCCCGTTCTTCACGGGGCCGTCGTGAAGACTGTCAGAAAGATGTGACACTTCATTTTTTTTTATGTCCATATATTCATTTTAAATGCATTGTACTCTCCATTTGACAACGGATTTCAAAGAAAGAACCTCCTCATTAGCAATGATCTTTTTCTGCATTGATTCACACATTGATTTAACTTCAGGCTATACTGTCAAGGCCAACAAAAATGCAGCACTGCCAAATGCATAAAAGCTTTTAGACACTCAAAATTAGCAGTTATTTTGCTTGTTAGCATCCTTAAGTAACTTCCACTGTGTCAGTGGAAGCTACTGTAATCTACTCATACAGGTAAAGGCAGAATACAGCCTTATGGCAAATTGCAAAAAGCTGTCAATTTTGACCTAACAATGTTCCCCCAATGCAGTATAGCTGCTATTCACTTCAGTGGGAATAAATTCCACTGACTAGGTATGCAGAAACCTTCAACCGCTAGAGTTCAAGTGGCTATCTTGACCCTTTATGCACTCTTGGTGCTGGCTGTTTAACACTCACATGTTCCACACCAAAGACCTTTCCATGCACACACACACAGCCTATATACACAAAGCTCATGAAACATGCTGGGATTTAAGATCAAATGTCATACATGGATGATGCAGACTATTCTCCTGCATCTTGAAAAAAACAAAACAACACAAAAACAAGCCACGCTGGTGTGACCAATACCTCTGAACAGTTTATCTGAAAGGGTAATGGCCAGCAGCATGAGTGGCAGAAGAAGCCTCAACGAGTTACAGATTAATCCCAGCTCTCCCCCTAAAAACCACGGTTTACTCACTTTCTGCTTGTGCTGCTGAAGGAGGTTGTCCAGATTATGTCTCCTTTTGTAGTTGAAGTAGAAGTTTTTACACTGAGCTTCACTTTTAGTTCCAACCATTTTGGCAATTGCCGCCCAATTGCGACCATGTTCCACTAATCCTGTTTAAACAAATCCAAGCTTAATATTTACCAAGCTAAATAATCAAAAAAACTGAGAAATCAAATAAACCAAACAAAAATACCATGCCAAAAAACAAAGAAACTAGGAAACAGTGAGTTTAAAAAATGCTGCCTTTAAATGACCTTTATCATGACCACATGTGGGAAGGGTGGCATATAAATCTAAAAAAAAATCTTGTAATAATAATTTTTACAGTACTCAATCCCTTGTTTTATAACATTTGATAGTAATGAAATACAACCTTTAACTAATAGCTTAACAGTTCAGTACTGAATTAATATCAACATTTATGACATGCTTTTGCTCAGCACACTTATCACTTGGAATATGTGATACTAGTGCATCGAGGAGGAGTGGGTTTTGTAAAATACACTGGAGAATATTTTTAGCCTGTCAGGTAGTTCATAAGAACATGCTGAGAACTTCTTTGTTTCACAGTCATTTTAGTCTGTCTTTGATAGAAGTGACATTACTTAGTTGTCCAGAATATGGGTGATAGTTGCTGAAGCAGACGAAGTCAAATGAATCATTTAAGCAACTTTTTAATGGACAGAATACAGCCCTACTAAGCAGATTTAGGGACTGTCTATGTTGTTAGTTTAAATAAAGTCATGCCATATAGAATTTTACATCTAAAGACAGAAAGTGAGTCAAGACAGAAAACTAGCCCTTGTATTGCATACATTTTGTTCCTGTCAGCTCTATATTGAGAAATATTTTAGGGTGATTGGTATTGGTCTCATCTTCCAGACAACGAAACAGAAGTGCAGTAAGAAGTTCAGACTGTGCTCAGTGAACAACAGCTGGGACTAAAACCCCAAGCCTGATTCCCAGTAGACACTGGTTCATGCCATCTCCCCAGTTAAAGTTCATCTGAATTTTCCTGGGACATAAAAAAGACCCCTATGCAACACTATGACCACACCTCAGAGAAAGTACAGCTACTCCTCGCTTACTGTTGTAGTTATGTTCTTGAAAATGTGACTTTAAGCGAAACGTTAAGCGAATCCAATTACTTCACAGTAGTTGCCTACTAGCAGGCGGTGGCCAAACAACGTTATAACTGAACACTGAGCGACTTTAAAGGACAGGTCAGCAACGTAATAACAAAACAACGTTAACCGGGACAACGTTAAGTGAGGAGTACCTGTAGAAGACTCCCATAAAATAGCAGTTAAGGGGCCAGGAGCAGGGAAGAAAATGAGAAATTTGCATTGGCAACATTAGCACTTACAGACTAAATATACTTTGAGTTCAGTCTTGGAAGCACAGTTACTTTTAATTAAGCTAATATTACACATTTTTAGCTATAATCCAAAAGGTACTAGTGATTAAAGAGTTAACTGGCAATTTAAATGATTTTGAAAGCCTGAGCCTGCTGTGTGTCTCCCCATTTATAAATACCAAGATGACCTTGGTAGTCTGACTACAAGATAAGTACACGTCAAACAAATTACCTAGTCCCTTCTAACCTCTTGCTTCTGAAAAAGTCAAGTACAAAACACTTGCAACAACTGCATGTAAACATGTGCACAATGCTACTTCAAACAACATTAAGAAATAGATATCCAAGATTCAAATTTTAGAAAAGGGTAAACTTCCTTGGGCTGATTTGTGGCTACGCCTAGTCATTAAAAAAAAAAAACAAAAAAAAAAACTTTTACAAAATCTTTGAAAGGTATTTTTTTGTATTACAGCACACAGAGTTATACATACGCCCCTCAAAAAAATTAAGTAAAAATCAAGCCTAATAAGAGCTGTTCTAGGCTTCACATCCACTAACATAATTACTCACTTAAATGTACTTTTTAAAAGAATTAAAAAACCCATTTTCTTAACTACACAAAAGAGGAGTGACACAATGTTCTTATAAAAAGCAAAGTCAAAGTTTCAAAAGCTCTCATTATCCAGCTCTACATTTAGTTGACAATGGTTAGGAGAACTGTTCTTTCTGATGTAAAAAGTTCTCTGCATCAAACTAGGCCCCTACCAAGAGTATGACTGAACTGGCAGTCCTAAAAAGAAAATAGCTTCAATCATTCAAATACAAAACTGATTTGAAAAGCTATATTCTTAATGAACAAATATAAAATAGGTCACTAAAATTCTGATTATATTTTCCTTTACAATTCCTCTTTAGGGACATTTTAGTTGCACCTGAATTAGCATAAAATTGTTGCTTAGGGTCTCACACAGCATCTATTTTAAATGCTCAGAACTTGGGCACAATTTGCAAAGAGCAGAAACAATGTATATTAGGCAATGGCAGAGAAGCAATTTTTATTTTAGTCTGAGGGTTATACAACACTTAAAAGCCTGGATGAGTAAAGGAATACGTAGGCCTGACTAAGAATTAGTAAAATCCTAAACTTGAATGTGTGCATACTACAGTCTTATTTGAACAGCATATTTAGAACGCTTTCTGTAAGATGCATGAACATTAGTTTTCAGAAGAGCTGAATTTTGCCAACCCTTGCAAAATATTTAGCACAGAGTAACAGAAGAGCAAAGGAAACTACCAGGTCCTACCGCCTGCTCATAAATACTTCAAACCAACGGCTACCACTAAGTTCTGCTACAATGCGAATTACACACACACACACACACACACACGTTTTGGTGTGTCGGCATTTGTCAAGCTACTTGACAAATGACAATGTAAATTAACACTTCAACTGAAGGAACTAAATCTCCTGGAAATGGTGTTTATGTATCTTATACAAAAGAATACTTGGTATTTATACACATTTCAGATATAAAGTTTCATTGACAGTAGTTTCAGAATTTATACATGCTCTTTGGAAAATGGTTTTACACCAAACCAAATACAGCTTTAGCTGTTTGGTGAAATCAAATAGCTCTCTGAGATCCATGTCCCGCAAAAAAGTTACAATCAGCATGATTTTTACTAGCATGGATATTTCCTTCCCAAGGAAAAAAGCCTCTTTCCAAATAGCAAAAGGTTAGAGTTCTGTTGTATTCATTCAAGTAGTGCTGCTAGGCCAAATTAATGACCAGCACCAGGCATCAATGCTTCAGAAGGTTTACCTTTTTTAGCAACTTCCATTTCTTCTTCTGTCCAGCGGGAGGTCTCCACAGGCTCTGCAGAAGCTGAAATAGCAAACAGCAGATCCCATCAGACAGAGAAAAAACACAAAAAACCAAGATTTGCCCTTTCAGCACCAATCACACCTCTCATAATCTATTAATCAGGTTACATTAAGGTCTGTTCAAGCCACTCTAGGAGAGTCGCCCGCGACGCTGGCCGGCAGTCAGGTTCTATCACACCATAGTAGACGTGCCGAGGGAGCCTTCATGTGCCCAAGCAGAAAAAAACATTACGCCTAGTCTCGCTCAAAATATTTACCTCTATCAAGGAAGATGTCTACATAAAGCTGTACATCATTCATAACTTAATGTGCCAAATTCTGATGCTTATACACAAGGTTCACCAGACTCGTAATCAGCTACTGCCAGCATGCTCTGGCATCTTGGGGGTACCACTTGTTTTCCCCTAACACAACCCATTTCCTTCTAAAGTCTTCAGTCTAATACTGCATTACAGAAGGCAATAACGTTCTTACAAAGCATCTCACGCTGTAACATTTTTCAGAGGAAGTAGAAACCCATTATCAAATCCAATATCATTCTGGATTACCTCCATTTCCAAGCTACACACTGAAGTATTACTGCAGTACACTACATTTATGTAACATTATTTGGGAGTCTTTTATCCTTCTAACATCCATGTGATGTAAGCAAATATGTATTATCCCAAATTTATAACTGGAGTAACAAATCTTAAAATGACATACCCTAGGCCAAAACATAAGCCATTAGGTAAGTTTGAAAATGTAATGCTTCCAGGTCTATGTTTAAACCCCTAAAATCCCACTGCTCTATTTCAATCACCATACAAGATTTCTAGCTACCAAAAACTGTGTTATATTTCTTTTCTGTCCATAAGTATCCAGACAGCATGTACCTTTTTCAAAAGAAGTCAAAGGTTGACCTTGTGTCCCTTGCGTAATAAAGGGTAGCCTACATAACACCATGAACTCCTGAACTCACAAAATTATTTGCTAATGCTTAAAGTTACACATAAAAACAAAAGCTTTGGATGCTATTCTGCCAAGTGCTATGTTAATATTATACTAAAGGAAAACTAAGCACAGTCTTTGTACAAGTACACTGCCAAAAACGTCAGTGATAGTTACAGGTCAAAGGTGCTTATTTGCATTTTGTTTTAAGCAGGATGTTCCCATAAAATGATTTGTTCTTACAGAGCCCCTAACTGCATATATGGGTAACTCAAATCAAATATAACCACTTCCAATTAACAGATGGGAGAAACAGAACCATGAGAAGGTGACAACTGGTCCACAGTTACATAGCAGGTCATGGCAAACTAGGAACGCACATCTGACTTCCAGTCTAGTGACAAATGTGCCACAGCAAACCACCTTCCAAAGGCTACAGAGAAGAAAGCCAACATTAAATGGAAAAATTTCCAACTGCAAATGGAAGGAGACACGGTAGTGGGAAGTGCTGAACTCCAGAAGTTCTGCCATGTCACTGTGCCATCCACTGCTCCGAGACCATAATGGCTCTTGAAATACCAAAGTCCCTACCCTCTGACAACAGAAGGGAGCACTTCAAACTTAAAAGCTAACACCCCAAAATGCTCATGGCACTAAAATAAACTAATGGTGATGAATATCTGAAGCATTTAGTATTTTTTATAGCTATAGACAACACAGCTAAATGCAAGGTTCTTTCTGGAGTCTTTTGCAGTAAAGAGTGCAGCAGTTCCTTACATTAAGGTACTGCATACTGCAAGTCAAACATGCAATATTTCCTTCTTCAGTGTGAGACGGGAACATTTCCAGCTTCTCTCTGTACAGCTATCCATATGTTTGTCCTGATAAATCATAACCATAAAGAAGTTCTGTACATTTCTTCAAGTCTTATTTGGCTCATTAGATTCTGGAACATCTGATGGATATTATGTAGGTACTGCGAGGGATTTTGTAGAACCTATCTTCTATTCATTTTTGTACGTATATTTGAATGCTGTATCATAAGATACTACTGAACAGATGAGAAAGCGGGGGAGGAGAGCCCCCAAAACACACCCAAGCATATTGTGCAGGGAGAAAAAAGAAAATTAAGACCAAAAACCCCACAGACCCAAATCCAGGATGCTATAAAGTATTTAAAAGGGTCTTTTGAGGAATGGGCCATGAAACTTGTTCTGCCACATTCGTGTCCTAGAAATGAATCTCCTGCTCACCCAGACAAACCACCACAAGCAAAGGAGAAAAATAAAAGAAAGTAAAAGCTTAGATTAGTCTAATAAAACAAATGGGAGACAAAATGCAGCTACAGCAGTTCACAGGGCAAAGTATTCTCCACCTCCTTTATCTCTTGAGATTTGGTGTCATTCAGGTCTAATACTGCTCTGAATGGTCTTTAACCACTGTAGACAGCTCAGGTTCTTTAAAGAATAGAAGCCTCCTCCACATTCTTGCTCAATCTGTTAAATTTAGCGCATGCTATATAGGGCCTTAGCAGCACACAATAGGAACCAGCAAGACAAACAGATATAGTACGAATAGGGCAGAAAATAATAGTTGATTCAAAACAGTTAAAACCTGTATGTGGAAGTTCACTGTCCTAGTTCTGGGAGAAGGGAAAAAAGGAGGTCATACCTGCTGAGAAAAATGTACGTGGCAAGCTTTGATGTTTATAGCCTAATGAACACTCGCTCACTTCCTTTAATGGGCTCTTTCATGAGGTTCAGGCTGCTTGAGCAATAACCAGACAGATTGGCCAAAAGCTCTGGTGGCACAATCAGTACAAGAGTGGTGCACACCACTCCTTCCAAGCACTCAACCCAAAAGCTGTCAACAGAAAGTTTGCACCAAGGGGAGAATTACCTCTGCTCTTGTGGATAATTATTTACTATCTGCAAACTAGTGTACAGCTCAAAGTAACCTCTTGGCAGGGAGACAGAATGTAACAGACCCATACCTTTTGTTGACAGCTGCCACCTTAAAGTCCCTTTAAAGCAATTTCTCCTCTACTTGCAAGAACTTCCGAAATAAAGACCGTACACCTAATGAACAAGTCTGTATTTCAAATACAGAAAACACATGTGCCTCTTTACTTCCTTGTTTCTGCACACCCATGCATTCAGAGCAGGAACACACACACCTCCACCTCTAAGAAATACAGACAGCTGTAAGACCCTCTATACTATCTAAAAGTGTGCCACAAAACTGCTTCTTTAAAAAACACACATTCCCTAGAACAGATTAAGACAAACTTACAGAAGATCCACTCTATGCTATAACAATTTTAGGCAAATCAAATTCCAGGCCTATGTTGCATGGTAGTAACTATGTAGGGCAGCGGTTCTCAAACTTTTTGGATCTGAAGCATCCCTCATTGGAGCAGAGGCACCCCTCCATCATTTTTGTGAACTGAATGGCATGCAATTTCAAAAACGAATTTTTTTAATTACCGTACTCACCTCTTGGCAGTGGGGGGGGGTGTGCGCAACCGAGTGGGGAAATCCTCCAGGCAGAGGCAAGCCTGAGCCTGTGCTTATCTACTTATCTCCTCACACCTTGCTTATCTCCTCAGACCTTGCAGTACCCTTCAAAAGATGCAGCACCCCAGGGCTCCCTGGCACCTTGGTTGAAAACCACTGCTCTACAGACTAGTGCATTCAAACAGATCCATATCAACAGTGTTCTGCCTGAGCCTTTAGCTAGTAAGTTCTAAATAGTACAATTCATGCCACATAAGAACGAACACAAACCGTCTGTAATCTGATTTTGTTCACAATGCTCACTGTTTAGCTTCTGGATGTTTGAGAAATGCTAGCTAGCCAGTTCTGTTTGTGAATGTGTGAATAGCAAAGAAGGTATTTCATTGATAAAAAATGGCAGTGTGCTGTATGTGTGACAGGACGGCCTTAGCTTGGTTATGTGCCCTGCTGCCGGATGGACCCTAAAGTATTTTATAAATATTGCTCACAAGGTTCTGGCGGGGGCGGGAGAGGAGGCGGTGGTTCTTCAGTAGCAGCAGCTGCAGCAGCATTTGCGGCCGCAGCTTCGTTTGTCATTGATCTGGTGATCCTGCCCTTACGGCGGCCTTGGCTGTTGGCAGTCTTTCGTCCCCTAGGAGTTGCTTGCTCCCTTTCCTCAGTTTCCTCTGGGGCAACTTCTGTTTTGTCCTTCTCTTTGGTGTTCTCTCTAGAGTGGAAGCAAAAATTAAGAAGGATTCAGAGACCTTAATGAAAAATATTCTTCACAGGCAGATATTCATGAAACTAGTCTAAGAACTACAGGTCAGCTCACTTTTCAGTTCCAGCTGAAAGAGTAATCATAGAGCAATTTAACAGTGAAATGGGATCCCCTTTTTTCAAAAGTTAGAACTGCTATTTAAAAATAAAATGTGGTCATGCTCCATTGTTGACTCCTAAAAAGTCCATTATTTTTGTACTGCTGGTACAAAAATATGGAAAGTAGCAGCACCAACAGCAAGCAATGTAAATGATAAACTTCACAAGGCAAGAAAAATCACATTAAACCTGGGGGGTTTTCCATATGTCTGATTAGCTAAGAGTATAAGCAGCACAAATAGGCTTTATTTCTTTTTGAAGACAGCATTAAATTAACCCTAACTGAGGACAGTTAACAGTTGATTTCACTGTTACGTTCACTGAGTCTATGTAATGCTAATTTCCTAAAACAAATGAGAAGAAACTAGAAATGCCTGCATTAGAGAAAGTAAGTGCATCCTCACTATGTATACTCACTTAGATTCCTCCTTCTCATCCTTTTCCTCTTCATCTTTCTTTTCTTCCTCTCTTTTCTCTGTTTTTTCTGCTTTTTCTTCTTCTACCTTTTCTTCTACCTTTTCTTCTTGGGAAGGACGTGCAATTTGTTGCTGAAATAAAATAATATTTACATACTAGGACTCTGCAACACTTGATTGTGCAGAAGAGATGTTATTTTGTCTTAAGAGAAGTACCAGAGATACCCATGTTGATGGTAACTCCTTTCCTTCAATATGATTTTGCATTAGACACTACAATTTACAAATAAACTTTAAAAAAATTAGGTTTAGATTTCAAAGGCTTTACAACTGGTATATACATCTATTTGCAAATTAAGAACATAAGGAAACAGTCTAAAGAAAAAAAAAGGCCACTTGGCATAAAAAAATCTGCTGTAGCTTTGAAGTTTTCAACCTCCACATTTTAATGTATCCTTCAGTCCTTCTCAATATTCCACTTTTCTCTTATGCCTGTTTGTCTCTTCAACTGTATTTCACTACTGTAGATTCCAGGGACATACTGCCTCTCAGCTGAATAAGGATAGTGATGAAACATACTGTACAGACAAATTATTCTTCACCTAATGCTCACTGATAAATGTGCGTTCCACATGAGCAACAGAGTAGCTTTGTATTCATCAGCACTATGGTTTTCTGCATATGAAACCTGAAAATAAACAAGGTTTTAAATAATTCCTTATGTAGTAATAAAAATTAAATTCATGTAAAAGAGTACATTATTGCTTCTATCCAACAAACAGTAAATGTTATATTTTACAACTCAGATATCTTATTAAAAACTATCCACAGATCTGATCCTCATTCTCAGGGTAGTCAGTTGGATTAAGTGAGTATAAAGAATAAACAACCACATTAGAAATCTCTTAAGAAATGTCACATAATGTACGACTATGTTAAACACTTGACAAGGACAGGCCTAACTCATACGGAGGTGCAGCAGGATGACCGGCAAAGGCTTGCAACAGACTGCACGCTCCAGGGTAGAGGAGTTTGCAGGCTTGTGGGGTATGACAGTCAGCTGCAGGCAAGCAGGAGTGACTGCAGGCTGCCTAGAAGCGGACCAGTTGCAGAGGCTAATTAGCTGCCCCACAGAACGCTAAAAATGTCCTGGGAAGAGGAGACAGAGAGGGAGAGGGGGTTGGGCTAGCAGTGGCAGACTGAGCCAAGGACTCATCCATGGTCTGGTAAGAGACCTAGTGTGGCAAGGCTGGAGAAAGCAGCACTGCAAGGCTATGAGAGAACTCACTTGAGTGAGAGAAGGAAGGCAGCTCTGTGGTGCAAAGCTAGCAGCACCTTCTCAGGGCCTAGAAAGACTCCAGGACCCCAAGTTCCCCTCCATGGACTATGTTAGGTGTGCTGTTGACCACTGATTGGAGTAGGACGCTTCCTGTGGGACAAGTGTGCCCAGCAGACAAAAGACTATTTGAGCTAAGCAAATCCCTGAACCCGCTACAGTAGGGACCTACCTAAATTGGGGTGAGATGAAGGGGTTTTATGGCATGCAGAGCCACTTTTATACATTTCACAGCAGCCTTGCCATTGATTGGCAGAGGACTGCCCTTCACATGGCCCTCCCCTCGTTGCTGACCGGCTGCTGCTCCACCAGCTGGTGCCCCCAGAGCCCCAGCTGGCTGAGAGACCCCTGGCTCCCACTGGGGATCCAGCACTTTATATTTAGCACAGTTTGTTTGGTTTTTACTTCCTTTTTAAATGTTTTATTTGGGGAGGTGATTCCAAGGGAAATCATGGCAAACGCCACTTTTCACAGCAATTGTGGAAGCTGTTTTTTACCGTTGCTGTGAAAGTGCAATTTAAGTAGGTTCCTACATATCAAATTCCTTTAATATATTTTTCAGTGAGGAAAAAAAGTTCTACAAACTAATTCATGTTAACTAAGGCAACTTAAGTGTCAAAGTAACTACTAATAGACCCCTTATCTCTGTATAACTCAGCTCAAAATGGGCATTAATGCAGTGTTAAGCCAGCCAAACTTTTCCAATAAGCCCCAGGTGGGCATCTGCTTCTGCTACAATAGTAAGTTATTTGCTCTAATCATAGTAACCATTAATAATGTAATGCAGCAACTTGTTTGTTGACTTTTAACTAAAATATTTGAACAATGATTTAATCTTCTGTTTCAATGCTTTCTTGGGGTCCTAAAACACATCACAGAATTAAACTGTACTTGATCCTTCCTGGAGTTGTTCTGATTCAAGCCTTTCTAATACAGTTACTTTTCCTTATTTACCCAACACTACAGTCAGTTATTTTGCAGCAATCTAGAATATCTATATTCAGGTTGCACATAATTAAATTTGTGCAAATCTACTGCAACCAGCAGAACAGCAACAGGCGCTGAAAAATGCCTCTCTCCTATATGGCAGCAGCAGCTCGAGTTTTTTAATGAACTGATATTCCCACTGGTAGTCTGACAAAGCTGAAGAGATTTCAAAACCACATCCTCCCCCCTGCCCCCACCTTAAAGGATACTAATTTACTCTTTAGCAAATGATTTCCTACAGCAACTTCCACTGTCACCTGGGTGTCACCCAAACTACCCCACATAACAAAACAGTGAAGGAGGCACCTCAGCCTCCCCTCCTGCACTAATCTTCCAGTTCTTATCTCTGTTACACCACAGTTACTCTCACAAGTCAGATTTTGGTTTGGCCAGGGTGTTTGGCTCAAGACACGCTGCTTCTGCTTACACAATATGATTCTGAAATGCTGCCTACACTTTGGCAACTAAAGACTTTTTTTTAATGGTGTCCATACCAAATCCTGCTAATTATTTTCATGTTTGTGTATGAAGGAGACGTATTGTTTTGCAAACTCCTAGAGCGGATCATTAGCTCATGCTATACTTTTTGAAATTAAGATTATACACTTTTTCTAGAAGACAAGTTTACTTCAACTGGGAAGCATTTGGGGGCATTCCAATAGCCTGCATTATTAAGGTAACCAGCCTGGATGATCACAATGGGCCCTTCTGGCTAGAAAATGTAACAAACCAACTGAAAAAAGTCAGAGGAGGAATTTGTGACACTCCTTCCCTGTACTGCCACCCAAACAAGAACCCGAACTTCCCTGCCTGGCTTAGGTGTCAGGAACAAGCCAGTATTTGCCAACTCTTATCACATGCTGTTCCCTAACGGGTTAAGGAATGCACAAAATGATGATTTGGGTGGGGGGGGGGAAAGGATTATCCTAAATTAAGAAACATAACCTCAGTGTAGCTAGAAAAAAATAAAACCTTCTCAGGCATAGACTAATGCCCTTATGCTCTCCACTGTGCTGTATGTAGCTTTTGTTACACAGCAATCTTAGGACTGAACATTCAGATCTGCAGTCAGGTAAAGCAGAGGAAACTAAACAGTTTATTTTACATATTTAAATTATTACATGTATATACTGCAGCATACCAATTCCATAAAATTTTAGCATTTGTATCTGTGCAACAACGGAAATGATATATCTCATGCTTGAGAACGTAAATGTGGTTATCAGAAAGGAATTCCCCTTCTCACAATGCAGAGGACTGGACACTTCCTATGTGCAACATGGGGTAGTTTATTTTTGGAAACAGAGTTCAGTTTCTAGCCAGAAACTTAGCAAAATGAACAGCTGGCTTATCTACCATGGCAATTTCTATTTAATATTTATTATTTGTATTGCAGTAGCACCAAGGAGTCTCAATGAAAGACTAGTCTTGCAATGTGCTGAACATCCTACAAACAAATATAGCAAGAGACCGGTTTTGACCACCAGAGCTCACAATCTGTACTTCCAGACTACCAGTTTTTTTCACACTGGAATACTGAATCTCAGGTTCTTCTCTTTGAAAATGTAATACTCTTCTATTTTAAGTTAGGAGTATCAACAACATTTGAAAGACCATTTGTAACTCACATGGTAGATTAAAGAATATACTCTACATAGCGACTTATAAATGAAAACATCACACCATTGTTGATTAACACAGAAAAAGTGTCTAAGCAAAGTGCTCACAATGGAAGAGCAATTTCTTAATTGGTCTGTTTCTATGAAAAGCCACAGGGGTAGCTTGTGCCTGTACAGTAACATCTAGCTGCGGGTATTGTAAGCATGGACATTATAAGCAAGCCATAAGAAGCTGATTTAGAAATCGGAGACTTTTTTTGGAAACCTTGCAAAATTTACTAAAGGCTAAAAATCGCCTCCTCACTCACATCCACGTATTATGCAACACAGGGCAACTATTCCTGATGGAGTGAACACTGCGAATGGTGCTTTCTGGGTGAAGTTCCAGCTCTCGTTTTGTAGAGTTTAATGTAAAACAATTCGGTGCTTGTTCACTGCTGGCGATTGGCTCCCTCCTGTGCGCATTCCTTTTCATTTAGTGCGGCCAGCCAATGGAGCAACTGCACAATCAGGTTCAAAATACCCACAACAGGCTAATGCACCAAACGCAAGGAAAAGACAGGCAAGGGACAACATCGGTATATGGGTCTGAGTAATACAGGTCTCCCAGTAATATTGTGTTTGCAGGCATATATGCATTACACAACATAGGGCATTATACTTTAGGAGCTTCCTCAAAAGTTTGTTTTGGGAAGGGACTTGAAAATGAGGACCAGGGCAGAAAGCCAGAAAGGGCTGAGAGGAGAACATTAATCACGGGGCTCTAGATAAAAGAAACAAGTAATGTTACCTACAGACACTCCAGACCCAAGCATCAATAGGATGTAGCATTCAGGTTAACTTCCTTGCCTGCAAGGTCTGAAGCAGTCTGATGCCACTAACTGCCAAATATGCTTTAGTATCTCCTTTTACAGATACAGGTTCACATTAAAAAGAAAAAAAGTTGAGTTGGTGGTTTTCAGCGTTTCTAAGCATTAAGGTTAATCTACCTAAGTCTTCCAGAAGTCCTCTGAACAAAAGTTAGTGTGTTACAACAAACAGGTGCAACGTAGATGCAGGATGGGTTTTGTTTTCTGTTGCTTTAATATATGACACTGCACTGATGGATGTGCTTTGTTCTCTATCTAAATATATAGCAGAAGTTAAAAATATTTCTGGATTTAAGTGCCTAAATATATTTGCCAACTCTTGGAGAGAAAAGAGGGGAAAAAAAAGTTCCAGAAATTATTTTCCTAGGAGCCTGCATGTCATGTAGCTTGACTGCGTTTCATCATGCTTTTAAAATTCCTGAGAACAGGGATGGCAGCTTTCTGTCAGTGCTACATGAACAAAAGTGAGCTTGAAAATCAAAAGCTTTTGACATTTCAGTAGTATAAAGAGTAGAAACACTAACTGCTAACCATTATTTATAACCTCACCCCGCAAGTATTAACATCTCAATATTGGTATTAGCTGGTTATCCCAAGTATTCCTTTAACAAGATGTCAGTGAGACATGCCATGGTAAGTGGCTTTGACTACACTAGACGTAACCGTCTGAAAAGCAAAGAGTTAAAGTGTACTGTAGCTTCAGTACAAAGTGGATTTTACATATTTCTTCTGAAAAAGAGTTGATCAAAAGCCCCAGTGCTTTTACCAGCCTAATTTAAGCACTGCACGTCGTCAACAACAGATCTTAAATCTGTTTTCCACAGTGAATGTACTTATCATGCAGACTCTTAAAGGCAGGTTAAACACAAACCTTAAACAGCTGAAGCCTCAGTCAACGACGTACCTGCACATTCATCTGTTGATTAACACTTTTAATATCCACAGCAGGGGGTCAGGTTTTAATAAAAGTTAAGACTCAAAAGGACAAAAACCACAGCAGCACCATCGCATAGCTCCTTAGTAAGGGCTGCCTGACCCAGCAACGTGTTTATTCCAGGAAATTGTGTCATCCTGCCACTTAAGCTGCCTACAGAAGAGTTGCCCATCTCACATGCAAGCTTCTAATCTCTCCGGGGTTACTCAAGGTAATCCCCACCGAGCTGTGCTTGATTGGCTGTCACAGAAGTACAGCAAGTTTCTGTCTAGTCAGATCACTGGACTGTACCACCTGCTGCAAAGACGTACCGGTTGATCCATAGACATGAGCTTATGCTGACAATGCAACTCGGCTATGAAAAAGAATACTCCCCTTACTGACCACCACTTCTCCCAGCCCCCTTTTTAGTTAAAAAACTTACTTAAAAGATTGAGTATTCAGCCCTTCATTGAAGGTATACAGTGACATACACTACCTTCTTTGGCTAATATAATAAAGTATCCTCGGTGATATTATCCTTCTAGTTCCACATTTTTCAACCCATGGGTTGTGACCCAAAAGCAGGTTACAAGAATATGTGAAAGGATCATGACCAACTGTAAAAATGGATCAGCAAACTTTAAAAATTTAAGGGAGGAAAACATGGAAAAGCATGGCTTTTCCCTTGCAGGCTGGCAGAGTTCCAGCCTGCGAGGGGCTGCTTGGGGCTCCCCATGCCCCACACACTGGGGGGCTGGGGCTGGGGGGCAGCGGGTCGGGAGTGGAGGGCACTGGGTTGGGACTGGCCACTGATGTTTACAAGTGGGTCTTGGTACCAAAAGGTTGAGAACCACTGTCCTAGTTTGCTGCCTAAACTGCCTAGTTACTGATCAGTTTGCTGCCTAAACTGGTGGTTGTGTGCAAAACAAGTTTACAGGACTGCAGTAAAAGGAGCCAGACAACTCCTCCCCGCCCTTCTTCAAGGCACGTAACACACTGTGCACATGGAGGAGAAAGTGTAGCACCCAAGCACTAAAAAGTCCGCAGTGTATCTAAGGATTCATTTAACTTATATGCATCACTTCAAAGAAAGATACTGGCAAGCTGGGATCCTATGATCCCTGCTGACTTCCTGCCCCTGGGGCAGGGGGATGGACTCGATAACCCCCTGGAGTCCCTTCCAGCCCATATGTCTGTGAAGTCTATGAAGCTGGAAGTTCCCTAGTAAGCATCTGCTTTTTTTGTTTGTTTGTTTAAGAAAGACGTTTAAATTATTGTATCAGAATGCCCCTTCCACGAGTTGGAAGCTTTCAATCAGTCTTATCTTTTCTATCCATCTCATTTCCTATTCTAATGTTAAAACAAAAAACAAAGACACTCCTTTTATATAGAGCTCATTCATGTGCATAGAGACCTGTCATGCTGCCTACTCAAGCATTCTGAAAAAATGTAGCTAGAGGATTTTAAAATGCACTTTTATTAGAAGTTCCTTCTCTTCCCAGGTTTAGTTTGAACAAATATAAGTGTGTTATTAACCAATGAAACACTATATTACTTAAGCTTTATATACCATAATCCAGTACTCTTCAAAGTCCAAACAGCCACAGAGATCTTTGGTGCTGGCCAAGTTTAAATGGTTGCAGTTGCAATAATTAAAAATATCATTGGGGTTTTTAAGTTAAAATCATGATTAATCCATTTTAGTGTCACATCTGCTGTGTGTTCAACTGAAGGATTGAACCTACCAGTGTTTGCTATCTGTCCCACTGCACTATTACCTCTTTCACCTCCAAATACGACACTAGGTGAGCTGCTAGGAGGCCTCATTCAAAGCACCTCTTTGGCTGGTGCAGCAAAAAGTGTTTTGGTACATCAATCCCAGACATGCTGCTGTCAGTCAATGAGAGAAATTCCTGATATGACTTAATAACACTCACAATAAATCAAATTCTTCCACAAATATTAAACGTTACACTGATAAAAGGAGCCCCGGGCAAACAAGGCAATTCAAAGCTTTCCCTAAGCTTATTACTAGACTAAAAATGTCTGTGTTGTGCCTACAGTGAGATGTCCTATTAATAGGCACAGTAATTATAAGCATGAATACAGTTACTGGTGGTTTCAGCACAATTTTCTGCAATCTATAGTATAAACAAAACCTTACTACAAATCAAATATTAACGAGTTTTTAAAAGGCGGCAACAGAGCTCCCAGTTACGGAAGATGTGTTTAAGAACTGAACAAGGTGACTAAAAAATATTTTAATATTCTTTGTATTTACAGTGTTTCAGATGACCATGTGTGTTCTTGCCAATTTGTTTCCCATAATTCCAGGATCTACAATTTAGCCAAAATGTTTAATCTGGCCTGACAACTGACAGACAGACTCCAGTTCTGCAAAAATATGCGAGTCAAGTTCTTAAGAAAAAGCAGTTGCTGCAACTTCCATGAAACTACTCTTAGATTTCAAGTTATTAATAGGAGTCAGTGTTTATAGGAGAAGGTACAAA